CAATTTGAGCGACAATTTGATTTTTGGTTTTTCTTGGCACTGTTCTATCCATTATTTCTATCTTATCAACGGAATTTTTTATCGTTTAGTGTAAAAATGTGTTCGAGGAGAAGCTACGAATATACGCCGATAATATGCGAAAGCTGATTGTCACAGCACGAAAAACAATCAAAGAACTGAAGCAGGAGAACGTCACACTTAAACAAAAGTATGTTCGCTATCAAGACGAATTGTACACTCACCTCCGAGAAACCTGCTCCTTGCCGTAGCTCAAAGGTGCTCGGGAACTGGGCTGGAGCGTAGTAATACTCGAGCGCCGTCTTCATACTCCGCCCGCGCGGCCAGCTATTCGCCTGACTATAGCAAGACGCGCTACTTTTCTGCGCCCTATATTTTCAGTTCTCTACCGCTGAGCGCTTGTTTCACTGCGGGATATCGACCCAAGTACTGCACCTAGAGGTAGCGCAGGCTCGCTCTGATGACGAAGACGGCACTCGCATATCACACCCCCCCCCTCCAGCACGTTCCCGTGCATTTTTATGCGGCAAAAGTGACATGGTCTGCATGCAGCAACAGGCCCATTGACCTCACACATGGTAAGGACCGTCCTCGGAGGTGATTGTACAGCATGCCTTTTACTTTCAATGTACAGCTGTCATCGCGCTAATTCAGACTGGAGGCTAGCGGTCTCATTGAATGCCCTGCTTGTCTGTTTCATTTCAAACCGGAGAAAAAGAATAGGATACTTCCGAAATATGTTCGAGTAAGTTTATGAGATCATTTGGTTTGGAAGCATCAAATCAACTTTTTTTTCGTCTTCTGATTTTTTTTCCAGTAATTTTGTTGACTAGCACTGGCACTGCTTACCCTTTCTTGTCTCACTCTTTGAAATGCCATCTTCATTTTGATCGAAAATTTTCGTGGGATTTGGCCAAAACTTGGCCCGGGCTACTTTACTCTGCGCGCCAAACAAATGCGATGATCTTCTTAAAAAGTCATGTTACTCTTAGGAAGAGTTTCAAGCGAGTTACATTTTTTTTAGCAGTGTTTTAGCTTA